ATACATAAAAACATTTCACACACTATTACTGAACATTAATAATCAACTATCTAGAACTAATTTGTTTGATTTAAGCCATTTGAAATACTATGAGTTCCTTTTACTCTAAAGCCAACCCCACATTTTACTATGGACTGCTTTTCTAGATGTAACCTCAGATTATGCATATCATATCGCCTTTCACTTTACCAACTTGTGCTCTATTGTGAACACATGATTATTTGTGTATGAGGTCAACCAACGAGGGTGTTGGTCCAATCTTGTTTCAAGGACAACAGCTTCCATAATTCAGGGTAATAATTGTCAAACCTATACATCTAGTACACAATCTAGCTTTTTTAAAACAATGAAGAAATTCATTAATTATATGGATTATTAATTTTATTTTAATTTTAATTTTTTCTTCAGTTTATTTAATTATAAGTAATTGAGGAAAAGGAGGCATTATTATGGAGCTAGCTAAGCTTAAGCAATGAATGAGTATCTCTGTTTCTTTGGTGGACCAAAAGATAAAGTAAAGAAAATAAAAGAAGAGGGGAGAGAGTAGTGTGTTCATGCATTAGGATTTATGAAGGAAACAAGGCAAGCCAGACAGGTGGTTGCCCTATTAACTGTATAAGAAGCAACATTATGTATTGAAACAATAAACAAACAAAACAATGCGCAGATGGAGAAAAGTGGGGCTGTCCTGATTAAGAGGGTTAAGAAAACAATGTCCAATAGAAAGAGAGAGAGAGAGTCATATTTGCCGTGCAGGGTTATAATTTTAGCATGAAAAGACTAATTGAAAAGCTAATATAGTAATGGGAAGATGGGAGATGATGAATTAGGAGATTAGCTAGCTAGCCGACTCTCTTATTGGGACCAAAGCAAAGACAAATTGTGTGATGCCATTCCAAGCACTCCCTTTCACATTTCCTCTCTCTTTGCTTTCCTTTTTTCCTTTTTATTCTAAGTGGCTTCTCTCTTTCTTTGTCACTCTCCTCCCATTAATTAAAGTTAGAAATCCTTCTTGGTTTTGGGGGAAGATCACCCAATACCGGCTTCAATCTTTTTTCTTCTTTGTGGGATTCACTCACTAACCTTAAATTATACGGCAACTTTTTTTTTCACCTTACCATTGTATTATATATCAAATCAAATAGTCCATTTCATTCAAACAAAAATACAAACAAAATAAGAAAGTGAAAGAAAGGAAGAAAAGAAATAACTAATGTTCATCATTCCTAATTTTTTTAACCATCAATCATGGAATCAAATTAACATCAATTCTAAACTTCCTTATTAATTTATGGGAGAATAGCTCCTCCAGACGCAGCTGCAAAAGGCTATTCTTATACTAGTGATACACTATTTTGTGTGCCATTTTTTTTATTAAAGTATGGTGGGGTCCATCCAAAAATTGTATCAGCTGCAAAAATTTCTCTTCTCGTGTGAAAGGAAAAGAACAAAACCCTTAATTTATATACATAACAAAGAACCATTGGGTTATATGCTTGCATCAATTATTCATAAAAATAACTCCTTAACAACCTTTGGTGTTCTTTTTATGTTTTCACAAGATGCATGTTTGGAGTTATAATATTTGCGTGATATGAGGCGTAATTTCATCGTTAGATCGTTTTGTTGATTCAACAGTTATATTTATTTCCATCTTTGTATGGTTATGATTTTCCACATTTAATACTTTATATTTATTTTCACCTTTGTATGGTTATGATTCTCCATATTTAGTGCTTTCACATTAAATATGGAGAATCATAACTATACAAAGATGGAAATAAATATAACCGTTAGATCAACATAATCGATCTAACGGTAAAATATTGATCGGTAGTAATACTAGTTGGTTGTTACAACATCATATCCCATGATATTTAACAAATTTGTTTGGTGTGTTTATTTTACTAGCGTGAGTTTATTTAGAGAGACACAGGAAAACTGTCATTTTTTTTCAATTTAAACTAGTTAATGCTTTTTTTTTTTTTTTTTGTAATCAACTAGTTAATGCTTTTTAATGTTCCTTTGCTTGATCTTTCTATCTTTAGATTATTTATCTTAATATTGTAATTATAAAATTTCTTAGGTAAGTATAAATATAAAAAATCCGGTCCCTCAAATGAAAGAATATTAAATTATAGATAATAGTGGTTTACCAAAAAAAAAAATTTATAGATAATAGTGTAAAATTACATTGATTCATTATTCGCCTGGTTTTCATAAGAATTTTTTTTCCTTACCCTATCAATAAATTTTAATCCTTTAGAGAAGGCATTATCAAGTTCTAAATAATGAAGAAAAATAGTTCATTTAGTTAAGATAGAATATGTTAGCGAATAAAAACAAAACTGTGGATCTGGATTCTCTCGTGTGAAAAAAAAAACATGACATGGTCATGTGTGAAATCATAATCATACAAAGATGGATCAATGGTGATAAAAGAAGAAAGAGAATTTTTTTATAATAGATAATTACAAAATTGTAACCGTTGATTTACCTTTATATAATTGTGATCTTCTCACATGACCCTATCATGTTTTTTTCACATCGAGAGATTCTATTTTCCAAAACTGTTAACAGAGAAAACATCGATTTTTATTGGTTTAAACTAAAATAGTCAATTTTGTTATAACTAAATCGTGTTATGTTTGAAAGTTTCTTCTCTTACTGATGGGATTAAATTTTGCTACGTTAGTTTTATTTAGGTCATTTGAAATAGTCCGATGTGAAATCCTTTTAATTAGTAAACCCCTTTCCAATGAGGAATAAATTGGCAAAGGAAGAGAACTAAACATGGCTCTTCCAATCATGCATGCATCTAGATCGGGAATACCTTAATCTACTCATAATTTTCTAAGAAAAGAATTCCGAGGAATCACAACTGTTTAGAGTTTGAAAATTCGAGACTATGAAAAATTAAACTTTCCTTTTCCATCACGATTGCTTTTAAGATTTCAACGAAAAGAAAAATGCTAAATATAACATTACTAGATCGAACGCTAGAGTTAAAATTGTTATTAGTTACTAAATATAATATTTGTTATCTAATAGAGTTAAAATTAACCTCCAAAAAAAAAAAAAGAGTTAAAATTGAAATCGTTTACCACCAAGCATGAGAGAGGGCTTGTTTTAGAGATTGTTCTAGCTTCACCAGAGTTATAGGTACGTAAATGTGTTAAAACTTGATAGGAAGAATTTTATTGTCTTTATATTTCTACCAAGATCGAAAGTCGAGTAATTAATTAATTAGTGAACAAAATTTTAAAAAAAAATTGAAGTCAATTATAAATAAATGTTGATTTATCCTTGAACCTACATTTCATGCTTTAGATAAGAAGAATGTTACAATGTTAGTAGTCTTCTTAATACGTAATAAAAAAGTAATTAGATAAAATATATATATGAAAATTAAAAATATTTAATATTTTTTCATCTAACAAATTTGAAAAAAATATTAATTGAAGGGATTTTTCCTTCAATGGATACATAATAATGTAATTTTTCATTTAAAAATAGATACAAAACTAAAAATGAATCCTCTCATCTTTAAATTTCACATTATTGGTCATGTAAATATTTTGTCTCTATTTCTCTCTTCATAAATCTGAGTTGAACCCAATGACGGATCCAGAAAATTTTATTTATGTCTGCATACTTAGAGGTGGAAGGTAGCCCGTGAATATTTTTTTTTTAAAGAAAGTTTTAGATGTTTTAAAATACAAAAGAATATAAACAAGAAAATAAAATAAAATTCAACTTAACATAAAAAAAATAGTAATCAAGAGTCAAACTAAGCTGTTACAATAGAACATCAGGAGTCAAACTAAGCTGTTAATCCCTTAGAAAAAAATTGACTCGTGATTTTTTTGAATTTCAAAATAAACCTAGATAGTCAAAATCGTTGTCCCTCTGAAATTCAAAAAAATTCACATTTGTTTCCCAAAAGAATTAACATGGGTCTATTTTAGAATTCAGAGAGACCACAAATCAATTTTTTTTTCTTCTAAGGGATTAAATTAGGCTATGTGATTGTTATTGAGGACCCAAAATGTACTTTATTTTATTTTATTTTCAAAAATTTATGTGTGCACTTGCACAAAGTTGCACATATACAAGTCCACCAATGGTTGAACCTCGCTTATTTAATACCAATGAGAAGAGATAAACATTTTGTGAATATTTAACATGAGAGAATTCACTACTTATAAAATTACTTTGAAATTTTAAAGTGGTAGAATTTTTTATTTTTTTTGTAAGTAAAGTGGTAGAATTTAGTTGCCAGACTTATATTTATATAAATGACACTTTCAATTATCTATTCATAGTGCTTATTAAGCACTTATAATTAATTAAAAAATATTAAAATTACGATTAGTTTGTAAATAACTTCAACCAATTTATGTAAATCAATGACAAAAGCTATAATTGATTATATTTGATAATTGATACCAATAAGTTATTATTCCATGGGAGATATCTCTATTCTCCAAATATATGAATAAGTGGATACTAATTGAATTTTCACTTTTATTGTTATGCATGTAAGTATGTACCTCATATAATAGTTTTCATCGGGTTTAAAAAAATATATTAGCTGTATATCCATAAAATTTTTTTAGCAAAATATGGAAAAAGAGGTTGTGAAAGGATGTCTCCAAAAAAAAAAAAAAAAAAGGTTGTGAAAGAAGTAAAGCTAACGAGAGACGCATGGGCCACATACAAACAATTGCAGCGGCAGAAACCTGCATACCCCAACAACTACAACAATACATCACCCATTTACCAACGCCTCTTTCATTCACACACAATCCCATGCATATCTTCTCTTTTAATTTAGTCTTAAGTTTTGTCTATTATAATTAATTTACTATGATTTATTACTGTTTATCAAATTAAAAATTATGAAATAATAATAATAAATTTTGGTGTACATAATTTCTCTGGGAAAATATTTAAATAATATTAGTGTAAGCAACGATAACAAACAAACACGAGAGACTACTTCAAAAGAAAAGCCAACTCCACGAGAGGAAGAAGAGAAGCAAAGAAAAAAGAGAAAGAAAGAGGGAGCAGAATAAGGGGTCTCTCTCGGACTGATTCCCTTCAATAGCATCTATCTCTTCCCCACTTCTACACTCCCCCATCTATATCTATTCTCTCTTCCTCAACAACAACAACATAAAAGGCTAACAAAGGAAGAAAGGAAGGTGCTGCAACAAAGAAAAAGTGGACATAAATTGTTCATGGCAGTTCAAGCTCAATACCCACCCAATGTCCTCTTTCTAAACAGGTTATTTGCATTTTCTTTCTTCAGCTCAACATGTTATGCATGTTAATGTATATATTTTCAATTCTGAATCAACAATCCATTTTTTTCTAATAGCAGAAATGGGCAAGAAGGACATGAATACTCATTACAACCACAACAAGGAGGAGGACTCCTCGATCAATCACATATGTTATACAACAACAATGGAAGTATGTTTGGATAAAAAGCTCTATTTTGATTATTTTGATGCACAATTAAGATACATATACTTCTATTATACACATACAAAGTACCTATCCTAATATTTGTTTCACGTTACAGCAAGTACTAATTCTCGCAAGAGAGGAAGAGAAGGAACAGCAGCCACAGCTGCTGGTGCCCCTGCTAATGTTATCAATCCATTCTCTTTGCAATCACAGCCTCCACAGCTTATACACCTTTCTCAGCTCCATAATAATCACCAACAAAATGTGGTTTCCACTGGCCTACGTTTATCCTTCGATGACCAACAACAACAAAGACCACAACTTCATCAACATCATCAACAACAACAACAACAACATGGGTCTCCCTCCTCTGCTTTCTTATCTCTGTTATCCGAATCCCAAATCAAACAACAGCCAGATGAAATTGACCAATTCCTTCAAGCCCAGGTGCAAAATTTTCTTCCTTTTAATCACCCAAAATAAAATAAAAAATCCTCCTTTTTTATATTTTATAAATATTTTTCATTAGAAATTTTAGTTTTCTAGGAGTGAAACAAATGATGGGTTCTGTCGGAATATCAGGGAGAGCAATTGCGGCAGACATTGGCGGAGAAGAGGCAGAGGCATTACCGGGCGCTGCTTAGCGCGGCAGAGGAGATGGTGACGCGGCGGTTAAGAGAGAAGGAAGCCGAGGTGGAGAAAGCCACCCGCAAGAACGCAGAATTAGAGGCACGCGCCGCCCAGCTAAGCGTGGAGGCGCAGATGTGGCAGGCGAAAGCCCGGGCACAGGAGGCGACGGCGGCTTCCCTGCAAGCCCAACTGCAGCAAACTATAATGGCCAGTGGCGTCGGAGAGGACGCCGGAGTTGGCGTTTCGTGCGCCGTGGAGGGCCAGGCGGAGGACGCCGAATCGGCTTATGTTGACCCGGAGCGAGTGATGATGGCGGCGCGTCCGAAATGCAGAGGGTGTGGGAAACGCGTGGCCTCGGTGGTTGTTTTGCCGTGTCGGCACTTATGCATATGTACAGAATGCGATGCGCATTTCCGAGCATGCCCAGTTTGCCTCACCCTAAAGAATTCAACTGTTGAAGTCTTTCTCTCTTAGCAACCCTCATTTTACTAAATTACCACAATCCATATCCATAACAGTGCCTTCCAAACAGGCCCTCAGCCCTCAGACAGAAAATTCCATAAAAACAAAATATAAATAAAATTACAGTTTTGTTTAACCTTTGAAAGGGGATGTAACATTTGATTTGAGTACATTTACCTTCAGATGATGTACATGGCCACATGGGTACATGTGGCATTTTATTTTATTTTTATTTTTGTTATTTCTCTCTCTTGGAAATTCTATTGCATTGATATAATATTAATATATTATTCTTTCATTTCATAAATGCGTTTGCCCTGATGGCTTTTCAATTTTTTTTAAATGTCAATTTTCAAAGTCTTGCAGAGTTTTGCTGATTTAGCATCCTTGTGAGTAGGATGCTTGTTTTCACTTGTTAGGGGTCACCAAGGTTGCGTGTTAATTTGAGGTTTTGAATTTTCTTTGCATTAGTTGCACAGAGGGCATGGCTCAGGTAAGAATGGTTTTTCAGTTGTCAATTTGAGGGATAATGTGTATGCGTGTACATGCAGGTAACATTTTTTAACTTGAAAGGCATTACAGTTCTCCATACATGCATTTATTGCATTTCGGGTGCAAGGTGTGGAGCAGATTGGATAAATATTGAAAACGGTTTCATTATGTTGGAACGAAATTATTTTGAAACCGACTCAATTGGCTTGTCTATATTCCGTAGGCTCCCAATCGGGTATGAATAGTCTATAGCACATTCAATTTCAAACTGGTGTTGCTTGGGGGCGTTAGGGTGCTGCTTGGGGAGGTTTGATACACGACAAATTTCTTTTATCCGGAAATCTTGATTTTTTAAAATATAATTTTTATTAAAAATTAAAAATTTAGAAAAATTTAATTTTTTAAAAATTCTAAAAAATATCGCGTATCAAATACTCCGTGTTTTCACGTTATCTCTTTACAAAAAATTTAAAAATGAGAACTTATATATAAATATGGGAAATAATTGTCTCATTTTACATGAAATAACTATCTCATGTTTCTCTCACATAAAAAATTATGACATCATTTTTTCTTTTTTCTTTTTTTAATGGATGGTGGGCTCCACCATATTATGTATCTATAGTAGGAGATACTTATCTCCTACAACTGAGAAAAATAGAATCCTATAAATATATATATATATATATATATATATATATATATATATATATAAATATATATTATTGGTCATATTGTTCGATTTGAGGAGTGTAATTAATGTTGAATCTCTAAGCTAGGAGAGTCTATGTGGTCTGACTGTACTTTACTAGGTTAAATATGAATTTAATGAGAAAAAAATGGAAATAATTCAAAATTATTGAATACTGGTTGTACTGGTACAATATCATATCAATTGAGGGAAAAAAAAATTAATCAACAAAGGGGAATGAGGGCTTTAATATAGTTTTTTCTTTTGGTAAAACAGCTGCATAGTTATTCCCCATTTAATAAATCTTTAAATTATTCTTCTAAATATCAACCTGTTATTTGAAAGTTTTTATTATTAAATTAAGAGTTTGGTGTTTGTCATTTTAAATGACATAAGTTATGTCATTTTAGAAGAGAGATAGACACAGAAAAATAAAAATCATGGCAGAGAGAAAGTGAGTGGTTTTTTTATTTTAAAATTTAAATATTTTTTTTTTGTGTCTATCTCTCTCTTAAAAGGACAGAGTGTTATGTCATTTAAAATGACAAACACTTTTTTCTTAAATTAATTCATTAAAGATATTAAACAGTTACCAAATTTTTTATTTAATGTTAGGACTTATTTTTATAAAGATGAATATAATAATTTTTTTTTTTTTTGTGATTTATAAGAGTGTTCCCAATTTATTTGGATGAGATTAATCTCCTATCACTTGGCCAAATTGCTACACTTAGAAATTGAACCACAGACTTTTCAACCAGCAGTTCGCTCCTTGGGCTAGGATAATGTTGTAATATTTTAAATCTTTGATAAACTGATTTAATAACAAATTTTTTTAGTACTAATGTGATTATTCACTAATTTGTAAAAGCCTAATTTAGAGATTTAGAGCCTATTTGGCAACTTTTTTTAAAACTAAAAGTTACTTTTAAAATAAAGCCAAAAAAAGCTACAAACTATTTGATGATTATATAAAAATTTTAGCTTAAAACAGACATTTCAAAAAAAGATGATACAATTTAAAATGAAATTTTCCCTATGAACTTTTGGCTTTTTTCTTCATTATAAAAAAAATTATTTTATTATAAGAGTTTTTGTAAAAAATTATTTGACCTAACTTCTACTTATAAGGAGAAAAAAATTTAAAAAAAAAAAACCTCCCAACAATTTTTTTTTTTTTCAAGGAGCTTTAACAGTTCAACGGTCGTCTTCGTATTTGTCTTTTTAATAACGTCAGAAACTTGGATACCAAAAAACAAAAATTAGAGGGAACAGCAACAAAGCCCAAAAATACACAACACTCCCAACTCAAATGAACAGACTTAAAGGCCCATTTGAGTCCCATGGACATATCTATCCCATACTCTTTGACAAAGACTCATTTTCATTGTTGCTTTTCTTTCCAAACCTCTACACACACACACACTGTATTTTATTTCTTGCAAATAATTACGTAAAAAATATTAAAATATAAGCATGCACTTGGCCGAATAAAGTGACTTGCTATATACCTAATGCCTCTTGGCCTTTTCCGTGCTTTTTTGGAAAACCCAACTCTCAAATAAAATCTTATTGTGCACACATGTATAGGCATCAGGATTCATATGTATTGACCCTTCAAAGTGAAGCACCCTAATAAACCTCTTTTAAGTTCACCGAGACTGGTAGAAGTAGAACACTGCTAACAGAGGCAACTCAATTGATTTCCCAAAAAAATGTCCTTCATCTATATTTATTATTCTCCGTATATTAGGTGAATTCATGCATAGTCCGAAGTCATTAGGAAGAAAACAAAATAGTCCCTTTGTTCCAACTTCCAAGAAGCATGCCTTTTTCTAAGAGCGAAAAAAAAAGGACACTTTGAAAAATAAAAAATAAAGGAATACTCCATATCCTGTATCAAAGAAAACGAAAGGATCAAGAAAAAGATACACACTAAACAAGCAAGGAATTGGACAAGACTTGGCATCATCATCTGATGGGAAGTCTTTTCCTTCAAGTTCAATTATCAAAGTGGTGGAACTCAATTCAAATCCAAACTCAATAGATATCTAGCCCAAATCAGGGTATCAAACAAGTGAGACAAATAACATAGAGAAAGAGGGGTCACCATTATTATAAGTCTTGGAATACGTCGGTTTCCCATTAAAAAAAGTGAGATTAATATTTATCATATCATAAAAAATAAAATTATCCACAGGCATAAAAATAAGTGAACCTCATGTGGAGTCATACGAAGAGAAGAAAGTAAAATAAATACATGTCTCATATACATTTATATACGTATAGAATATATCTCTTATAATATTGAAAATATTAATCCAATTTTTAAAAATCATATATATATATATATATATATATATATATATATATATATAGTTTCCTTATGTTGTAAGAAAAAATTTCTCTCATGTAGTAGAAACAAAACTATAAGTGGGACCCATGATTAAGAGGAGAGAAAAAAAAAATAGAGGTGGGATTTGGGATCCACCTTTCTTTTGTGTGTGTAGAAAATTGGCTTCTTTTATGTAACATGGGATAAATGTAATCCATATATATATATATAGAGGTAGGATCCTTCGACACTGGTGTCAAATTTCAATTTTGACACGTCATCTGAGAGCCGTTAGATCAAAAAACATAAACGACTTTGATTTGCAAGCATATGACACCATTGATCTTTTTTGATCTGACAGCTCTCAGAACCGGTGTCAAAATTAAAATTTAACACCGTTGTCAAAGGATCCTACCTCATATATATATATATATATATATGAGGCAGGATATTCTTACACCAGTGTAAGAGTTAGAAGTCTTACACTCAATCTTGAGCATTGATCCACTTGTATCCAATGACTCACATTACTAAAAAATTAGAGCCCTTAGATATAAATGAAATCAATAGTTAAGATTGAGAGTGTAACTTACACTGGTATAAAATGATCCTGAGTCTATATATATATATATATATGTGAAAACAAAATAACAAAATAAGAAGAAAAAAAAGTAAAATAAGATTATGTCATTTCTGAGAGTAACATGAGAATTATTGGTCATGCGTGAAAGGTTTACAGAACAAACAAGTTTGAGCTGTCATAGAGAGCACGCTAGATTCCTATAATTTCATTCAAGGACGATCATTACTCACTTTTGCAAAGTTGTGTTCTTGAAATTGGTGATTGTATTCAAATCTGAACCGTATTAAACCTTTGTTAATTAAGGGAAAGGTTTACTATAATTTCGCTAGCTAATTAAGTCGGCCAGATTCACGCTCTGGGTTGGTGAATGAATGACACACTTGAGCTTATCCAGAAGGTGGCATAGAAAAGAACCAACACATGAATGAAATTAAATTATAATATATATAGCAATCAGAAGCTTTCTATATGGCCAACTAATTAATTAAATGAAATACCCCATCATTGAATATTCACAGATGCAAGATTTCAAGTCAAGTCACATGCATGATCTCCTAACACCACCATTGTACAAGGCCACAACCAGAGTGCGTCCTTAACTGTACATAAGAAGTTATATATATAGGGGTAGGATCATTTGACAACGATGTTAAATTTTAAGTTTGATATCTCATCTGAGAGCCGTTAGATAAAAAAATATCAACGACTCTGATTTGTAAACATGTAACATCATTGATAATTTTTGATCTAACGGCTTTCAAATGAGGTGTCAAATTTAAATTTTGACACCGGTGTCAAATGATCCTACCCCATATATATATATATATATATATATATATATATAGGGATAGGATATTGTGACATACAAATAATGTTACGCACAATGTTACGACCACATCTTAACCGTTGATTTCCGCCAATCAACGGTTAAGATTTATTAGGTCTTACTCATTAATTAAATTTTAATTCCCAATAAATCTCAATTGTTAGATGCACGAAAATCAACGGTTAAGATTTGGTGTAAGATTTATTATTCTTACACCGGTGTAAGTTGATCCTATCTCATATATATATATATATATATATATATATATATATAGGCTTATCGTTTCTCAAGCTGCTTGAGATAATGTTGTCACCGGCTACTAAA